CCTTAGGCAGGACTCGGCCTGGTGTGTTCCAGGAGCTGAGAAAAGACAGGGACAGCCGAGGTAGAGGAAACAAAGTGTGGAATGGTGGAGTCCGGTCGGAGAGGAGAGCAGGCCCTGAAGGCCATGGTCAAATCTGACCCAGTGCTGGTTTCCATAAAAAACATTTTATTGGAACACATTTGTTGCTGTGTGGTCTATGGCTGCTCTTGTGCTATGACCACAGTCCAGTAGTTGCTTTAGAGGCCATTTGGCCCACAGCTGCCTAGATATTTACTGCCTGGACTTTTTAAGAAAACGTTTGCCAGCCCCTAGTACATAAAGTACTTAGTATGCATCAAGTGCTGTGGTGGTGGCAGGAGTTGGAGTCCCGAAAAAAAGTGGACCCAGGTTCGTACTTTGGGAATGTATGTGGTAGCTGGAGAGGGAGAGGCAGAATCACCTAAACAAGTAAATTAAAAATCGCAACTTGATCACAGCCGTGGAAGAAAAGTAGAGTCTGTTGGAGGTATTTTGAGGGAATGTAACGAGAGGGGAAATAATCCTTTTTTAAAAAATGTTTACTTATTTATCTTGAGAGAGACAGAGAATGAGCACAAGCAGGGGAGGAGCAGAGAGAGAGAGAGAGAGAGAGAGAGAGGGAGAGAATCCCAAGCAGGCTCCACACTGTCAGTGAAGAGCGCTGGACGCGGGGCTCGATCTCGCCCTGAGATCATGACCTGAGCCGAAGTCAAGGGTTGGATGTTTAACCGACTGAGCCACCGAGGTGCCCCTAATCCTTTTATTAAATTTTTTTAATGTTTATTCATTTTTGAAAGAGAGAGACAGAGCACAAGCAAGGGTGGGGTGGAGAGAGAGGGAGACACAGAATCCGAAGGAGGCTCCAGGCTCAGCTGTCAACACAGAGCCTGATGTGGGGCTCAAACTCACGAACTGCGAGATCACAATCCGAGCCGAAGTCGGACGCTCAACCGACTGAGCCACCCAGGTGCCCCTTTAATCCTTTTATTAGATGAGAGGAACCACCAGAAATGATCAGGGGCTGTGGTCTGGAAGGTGGGTCTGGGCCCAGTATGTTGCTTATTGGGGAAGATTCCGTCTAAGGGTTTTGCTGGGCCTCCTTGCTGGAGACCCATGGAAGTGGGAGCACCTGGGCCAAACCCCTGTTCACTGCCCTGCTTCCACCCTGACCCCTTTCTCTTACCTTGGTTTCTTTTATTGCAGGGAGGACACCTAATGAGACCTTAAATCCTGGCACTGGTGTCATGGTGAGGGGGCTGGGAGAGTTGGAATTGTTGAGGGGGGGATAATTCTGTCCTCTGGGCCCTGTCCCCTCTCTCCCCACCCCAAAATGAGGAAGAAACGGGAGGGGTAGTGTGGAGCACCTTCTGCCTTGCCCCCGGGGACCTGGTGGCCTCTTTCAGTGCCTGGCCTCTGGAGGGATCTGGCTCGGGAGGAGGGTCCCCACAGTGACCCCGGGGGCTCTGAGCTGAACTCCAGAGTCTGACTGCAGAATGAGGTTCATTTAAATTTTTAAAAAATGTTTATTCATTTTTTTTTGAGAGACCGAACATGAGCAGGGGAGGGGGAGAGAGAGAGGGAGACACGGAATCCAAAGCAGGCTCCAAGCTCTGAGCCGTCAGCACGGAGCCCGATGCGGGGCTCGAACTCACGAACCGCGAGATCACGACCTGAGCCGAAGCCAGATGCCTAACCGACTGAGCCACCCAGGCGCCCCTGAATGAGGCTCATTTAGAGTCGGTAGCAGCAGAGCTCCACCGGGGCCATCCCTTGTGAGGCCTCCCCAAACCACGCGTGTCTGTATACATTTAAATTAATTGAAATTCAGTAAAATTTAAGGTCAGTTTCTCAGGGGCCTGTGTCACATTTCTCAAGTGCTCAGTAGCTACGCATGCTGGGGGCTGCTCTCTTGGAAAGCACAGAGAACATTCCCACCATCGCAGAGAGCTCGACCAGACCATGCTGAGCTTGAGGATTCTGAAATTAAAAGGCCGTTGGGTTTCTCAGGCGCAACGGAAGTCCTGTTTTAGCAACTCATAAAAGGATTACAAAGTGCTTATGTGAGTCTTGGGAGGGGTTCTAGGGATTTCACGAAAATTATGTGATGGACCCCAAACTTTTGACGCCTTAAATAAGAAATGTAGGACAAACTCTCCCTAGAGCCCAGAGATCGTCTCTGCAGTCACTGGCGGCTGAAGTGGCGAAGAGAGCCAAAGCCCGCACTCTGGCATTTGTCCAAATGTTAGAAGCGAGGAAATGTCTGCTAGGGTGGCCATGTGATCCCTGTCCCGGTCACAGCAACGACTCACTGTTGTGGGTACGGCACAAAATGAGCCGTGGAGATGGCCAAACAGATGGGGCGTGGCGGCGTGCCAAAGAAACTTGAAAAGACAGGAGGCGGGCCGGGTTTGTGGAGCCCTGCTGTGGAGACAGTGTCCCGAACGTTCTCCCTTCCCCGGTGGTAAGCAGTTGTCCTGCAGGTGGGTTTTGCTGAGCCAGGATACGTGTGTTGTTGTAGGAGTCAGTCACCTTTGAGGATGTGGCGGTGGGGCTCCTCCGGGAGTGGGCATTACTGGATGGTGCGCAGACGAACCTGTGCCGATACGTGATACTGGACAAGTGCAGGACTCTGGCCCCCAAGGGTAAGGCTGGCATCGGGCTGGTCCTTTTTTCTTCTTCTTCTTCTTCTTCTTCTTCTTCTTCTTCTTTTCAAGTTTATTTTTTATTTATTTTGAGAGAGAGAGAGAGAGAGAGAGAGCAAGCAGGGGAAGGGCATAGAGAGCAGGAGAAAGAATCCTAAGCAGGCTCTGAGCTGTCAGCACAGAGCCCGATGCGGGGCTCGAGCCCACAAACGGCGATACCATGACCCGAGCCAAAGGCAAGAGTCAGATGCTCAGCCGACTGAGCCATCCAGGCGTCCCATGGCTGGTCCTTATACGCAGGTGCCTAATGCTTCTTAAGGGTCGGCTACGCGACCAAGGAAGGTTTGTGGGTATCTGCAGGATAAGAGCCTCATCCATGGCAGTGCATCCATTCTCCCCAGAGTCAGAACCGCGTGGGTCTCGCTGAGCTTGGACTTGGGCTTCAGGGCTTCATCCCCATGGCGCAGAGAGGAGGGTATTTGCGGTTTGGGCCCTTGTGAAAGAGCTTCGCTGAGTTCATTGGAAATGGGGCGTGATCACTTTGCTACCCGTGGTGGTCGCTCACCGCCAGGAGCTGAAGCCCACTGCCAACCCTCGCTCCCTCTCTGAGCACGGGCATCTTTGTCCAGGAGCGGGGACTCCACCACGCAAACCTAGTCTGGGCTCCCAGCTGGGGCCAGGGGCAGAGCTGAGGGCCCCGTGGGTGTGGGTGAGTGTGTGTGCGGTGCCCGCCGGGTTGGGGGGGGCGGCATGCTGGGAAGTGTCAGCCTGAGAGGGTTTCAGAGGCCCAAGGGGGAACGAGGCTCTTTGGGGTGACGTTTCTCTAGTGAGCTCCTTCAGTGTTCCTTCTCTTCTGCTGGCCTTCCTCTCCTACCTGTCTTTGGTCTCAGAAAAAGATCTGTTTGAATCTCTCTCTTTTAGTTTTTTAAGTGGAAATACTCACAAACCATAAAATTCACCCTTTTAAAGTGTATGCAGTTCAGTGGTTTTTAGTATATTCACAACGTGCAGCCATCACCAGTATCCGCCCCCCCTCCCCTCCCTGCCACCTCCATCTGCTTTCTGTCTCTGGATTTGCCTGTTCTGGACGTTTTGTACAAATAGGATCACGTAAATATGGCCTTTGGTCTCTCTTCTTTCCCTAGTGTGACGTTTTCCGTGTTCGTCCACACGTAGCATGTGTCCCAGCCTTGTTCCTTTTTACTGCTGAGTCCTGTTCCGTTGTACGGGTAGACCACGTTTTGTTTGTCCAGTCATCTGCTGATGGGCATTTGGTTTGTTTTCACTTTTTTGGCTCTTGTGAGTAGTGTTGTGAACATTCACGTACCAGATTTTATGTCTCCAGTTCTGTTCGGTTGATACTTAGGAGTGGAGTGGCCGGGTCATTGACTTAACTTTTTTTTTTGTTTAATCTTTTTTTAACGTTTACTTATTTTTGAGAGAGGGAGAGAGAGAGCACAAGCTGGGGAGGGACAGAGAGAGGGAGACACAGGGTCCGAAGCAGGCTCCAGGCTCCGAGCTGTCAGCACAGAGCCCGACGCGAGGCTGGAACTCACAGACCGTGAGATCATGACCTGAGCGGAAGTTGGACGCCTAACCGACTGACCCACCCAAGCGCCCCGTATACTTAACTTTTTGAGGAACACCAAACTGCTCCCTCGGACAGGCGCACGCACCATTTTACATTCCCACCAGTGGTGGTGGAGAGTTCTGACTTCTCCACGTTATACCCACACTTACTGTCCAATCCCTCTTTTTTTTTGTTATTGTTTATTTATTTTGAGAGAGAGGGAGAGAGCATGAGCAGGGGAGGGGCAGAGAGAGGGAGAGAGAATCCCAAGCAGGCTCCGCACTGCCAGTGCAGAGCCAGATGCGGGGCTCGATCCCACCACTGTGAGATCACGATCTGAGCCCAGATCAAGAGCCGGACGCTTAACCGACTGAACCACCCAGGCGCCCCTCCGGTTCCTCTTTAAATTGAACATTTCTGGTGTGTTCTTTGTCTAACTGCTTGCTACTTGTTTCTGTGGTGATGCTGTCTTACTGGCGACATCTGTCTCCGTCTGCATGGGAAACAGCCTCTCATCCCGGCCCCCCGCCCTGGTTGCTGCCAAGTTCGTCACACGCCCATAGTCCTCAAGAGCCTCCCTTTGCTCACTGATGCCTTCTTGCCTTTCAGTATTGTCCCCAGTTGAGAGTCAATACTTCAAAAACAGTATTTTAAAACAGCAAATAAATAAATAAATACACAAGTGTATATTTTGGTCAGTTTCATACCCCTATTTGTTTCTGAAAGAACTTAACTTTTTTTTTCCCCCCCAATTCATTTTAGACTGGGACTCTCGACTCAAATCCCAAGCGTCTCCTCCCGTGCAGGATATTTTGGAGGGAAATTCATCCCCGGGTTTGCACATGGTAAGATTCACGGGGGCTTGTCCTTGTTCCCCCTCTCGGGAGAAGGTGAGGAGTACGTGGGTTGCAAATGCACACCAGGGCCAGGGGGCCGTGGGGGGGCACTTCCTCAAAGACATTCCCACGTCGTGTGAAGCCGGTGCCCATGGCTCGTGAATTTGGACAAGCCCTGCCTGTCCCTCGAGACCCTTTCTTCCCGGAAGGTTCCCCCGAGTCAACATGTCCGTTAGCGGGAGTCAGACATCGGTCGTGTGCGGTGCGGTTTGCTCCTCAACAGTCACGGGAAACTCCTGCCTGCTGGAGAAGCCCCAAGGAAGTCGGGAACGGGAGAGAGCCTGCACTGCCCTGGAGCCTGCAGCCCGCCTGAGTGAGGCGCACGTCTGAGCACGCTGCAAATGTGCCTCGGCGGGGAGGGGAGCAGCCCTGGGCGCTTCACGGGTGTCAGCAAGGTTGCCCTCATCGCCCACCCGCTGCCAGGAGCGGACTCTGCCCGGAGAGCGGATTCGGCCACAGCCCGAGCGCCTTCAGGAGGAACTCTAACCTGGACCTGACTGAGACAGCCCTGGGGGACAGCCACCCTGACTTATGTAAAGGATGTGAGAGCGCTTTCGTGGATCGCTCCCCACTTAGGGGACATGTCGAGATCCCACGCTGGAAATCAGCCCTTGTCAGGGCGTGGAAAAGCCTTCAGAGCCGGCTGGCGCGTCCCAGTGCACCAGGGAACACACATCGGGCCCCCTGGCCCCCCACTTTGGCCCTGGCTTCTTGCCTCCCCAAACTATAGGAATTTCCAAGGTTTGAGTCCCCAGACTTTTGGGGACTTCAAAGGTTAGGGTTCAGGTTTGGATAGAGGGACATACAGAGCCCAGTCTCCCCACCCCCACCCCCACCCTCACCCCCACCCCCACCCCCACCCCCACCCAAGCCTGGGCCCATTTGTGCCAGAGTCAGTGAGATCTCTGGGCTCCCTCAGTCTGAGCCCCTCCACCTCTGTCATGGCTGGTGTCAGTCTGACAGCGTCAGAGACGCCGGCTAGTGGAGGGGGTGGCGTGGCCTGGGTGGTAGAGACCTGCTTCATTCCTTTGCTCTGAGTGTGCAGAGCCTCATCCCTGCACAGCCTGGTGTGGGCTGCAGGGCAGTGGAAACCCTCAGCCCTGCACGGCTCGCATCAGACCCCAGAGCAGCTGAGACCACCCCCCCTTCCCTGCCCAGGTCCTCCTCACTGTTGGTTCACGTTTTTGTTTAGGTGGAGAATGTCCTCCAGTAGCTGCTTGGGAGAGGGCGTGTTGCTTTTGAGGCCCTGAAAATATGTGAAAATATCTTACTGGAGCTGCTGGCTTGCAGGGGCCTCATCTGGCAGGGTCGTTGTGGTAACCCCATGCAGAACATTCTGTGCATCGTTACGGAGCCCTGGACTAATGCTTGTGCAGTGAAGGAATGAACACGGGTACCCCAGGCCTTCACCCCTCCCCGTGAGCAGAGGGACCCTGTGAGGGAGGGAGCGAGGATGGCCCACATCTGTCCTCTCTAGTTTCTGTGGGCTCTTTCCTCTTAGTACGGGGTTCCAGCACCTTCCGCAGAGCTCCACCTTCAGCTCAGAAGCGAGCACCAAGTGTGGGAGAGGAGGGGCTTCTGCTGCATCGAGCCCCAGGAAGCAGGCGGTCGCAGAACGTTCTGAGCGGGGAGAGGAGGGCCACTCGGACACGCACGTGCAGAAGTTGAGTGGTTCGTCATGAAGACACGTAGCCCGTAAGTGGTACGGCCACGTTTGGAGCTGGGAGTCCAATCCAGGCCTACCGCAGAGGTGCAGAGGTAGCCACCGGGACCTGCTGCCCGGGGGTCACACATCCTGCCACGCGGCTGAAGGCGCTGACTGTTGGGCTCGTCTTTCCGGGCTTCGGTGGGCCTTGTCCCGACGACTGAGGCCCCCACGGCGGCCCTGAGGCCTCCCCGTCATGGCTAGATAGGCCAGGGGAGGGCACGAGGGAGCTGGGGACTGCTCGTAGAAGAGTCCCGAGAGGAGGCTGCGGAAGGGGTGTCTCCGGGCTCAGTCCTTCTACCGTCCCAGCCGCCCTCCCCCATGCCGCGTCTCCTCCATGCTGTTTCAGGGCACAGGGATGTTAGCTTGTGCGAGCGCTGGAGAAGGGCAGCGTTCAGAGGACGGGCTCTGGATGGCAGGGCAGATGTAACCCAACTGTGGCCTGTAGGTAGGCCCCGTGATTGATGGATGTCAAATAGACAAACACAGGCTAAGAAAACACCGAACAGCGTTCCTATTCAGAGCTAAGGGCTCCCAGCCTTCCTTGAGTGAAGCACGTTGCAGTGTCTCTGAGGGCCCGTGGCCTGACCTGCAGTCGGGCCCCCCACCCCAGAACCAGAAAGGGTTGGGTCCACCTTGGCGCCTGTGGCACGATTGGTCCTTGAGACCCTTGGTGGCTGGCGCTCACTGTGGAATAGGGGGAGTCACCGGATCTGAAGCTGCCAGACCTGCACGCCTGACTTCTCACAGCACTGCCCCCAAACTGAGGGTCCCTCGGGCCCAGAACACACTCAGTGCCGCCTCTGTCCTGCTCCGTCCCCTCCGTGCCTTCTCCTAGGGGCCGGGGCCAGACCTGAGGATGCACATCAGGCCCACAATTGGAGACAGAGAGACACCTTCGATTCCAGAAGACCGGCTATCTCTCTGGCTGTCACCTTGGTCTTCTGGATATGTAGTAACCCTGGGAGGAGGTTTGCTGTGAGGGCCAAGCCCCAGCCAGAAAGGCCTGGGCTTTGAGACTTCTGCAGATGGGGTCGCGGGGGGAGAGGGAGGAATCTAGGACCAACTCTTGGAAACTGGGGACAGGCTGGAGGCCCAGGCGCAGCTCCCCGGTAGGAACTACCACGTGGGTCCTGGCGTTCCTGTGTCCCCAGGGTCGTGGTGGCCCAGAGCAGGCCTCCAGGAGGAGCAAGCACCCAGGGCCTTGGCCCTGCCTCCCCTGGCCCAGCCTTTCTTCCTCCATTCCTTCCACTTTCACTCCCACCCTGTCCATGACCGTGAAGCCTATAGGAATGAGTGATCATGTGATCCCAGGGCTGGGTGGAGAGCCCAGGCTGGTGACTGAGCTCTTGGCCCAGGGTCCTGTGTTTCCACCTTAAGGTGGAGAGAGGATCAGAGAAGGACACTTTAAGGTGTGCTTTGATTCTTGCCCCCGGGGAGAAGGGCTGCCCCCACCTGCCCAGGCCCCTCGCCTGTCCTGAGACACCTGCCACATTTTCTTCCCATCCACCACTAAGTCCTGGGAGTCCCCTCCCCGCCAAACGTAACTTATCTCTAACTGCTCCTGCTGTCCCCACTGCCACCACCCTGCCCAGAGCCACTGTTAGTTCTCGGGGGCCCCTGGAACTGCTCCCTACAGGCCCCTGTTCCCACTGGGCCCTACCTTGGACACAGAGTCTAGAGACATCCCTTAGACATACAAGTCAGATGAGACACCTTTCCTGGGGAAGCAGCCACCAGTGGAGGAGAGTTCAGATCCTTTCTCTCACAACAGGGCTGCCTTCCGAGAATAACTTACTAACTATTCCTCGCGTGTCCAGGCCCACCTCCACATCACCAACCACCCCCCGCCCCCCAACCTGCTGGTCATCTCCGCCCTTCTTTGCTCCAGCGTTTCCCCTGCTGCTGGAGGCAACTCCCCCAAGGCGGCCCCCTCTCCATCCCATTTTGAAGTTGAAATTCTACCACAGGGATGAGTGTTGTACTCATGAATTGGATTGGTCTGGACAGGCTGAATTGGGCATTGTCCCAATTTTACCTTCGTGTGGCTCGGAGCAGGGTCAGTCTTGCAAATTCAGTCAGGGCGAATGGCTGTGAGCAGATTCCATCGACCGTGTGACCCTAATCTGTCCCTGTCACTGTGTCTAGGGGCGGAAGGCGGCCGCGCAGATTCAGAGGGTGGCTGTGCCGGTGCCTGCACTGAGTCTCCCTGAGCTGAGGATGGCTGGGGATTCTGGTGAGTGAGCACTGGCTGGAAATGGCAGCCCGAGGGCCTCCCATGTGCTGTGCTGTGCTGTGTCTGGGAACTTGGATCTCCCGCCTTCATTTCCTGGGACAGCAGGCATTTCCTTGCCCCTTAAGGAGGATCCATAAAATCATGTCACCATTCTTTACGTATTCAAGGGGAAAGGCACTTTCTCAGGATCGTGAGCTGGGATTCTTTCTGTGTATGTGTTTTTTTTTTGGTCTTTGGTCTTTTTGTTCAGAAAGAGTAGACTCCATTCACCTGTGGCTAAGTCCAGACCTCTTTCTGGGCAAGGTTCAATTCTTCACTCCACAATTATGTTGGTGCTGAATTGACAGTCAGATTTACTCTAAATTGAATATGTTTTAACTGAGCTTATAAAAAATGAGGTTGAAACAGGCCGCATGTCCTGAGGAGTGGGGGGGGAGGGGGGGTGGAATTAATTCTGGAGGACAAATGATATCTTAGCTTTAATTTCAAGGGATTTGCTTCCTTCCATCGTGCCTTCTTTAAAAAAAAATTTTTTTTTAATACATTTATTTAATTTTGAGAGAGAGAGACAGAGCACTAGTCGGGGAGGGATAGAGAGAGAGGGAGACACAGAATCTGAAGCAGGCTCCAAGCTCCGAGCTGTTAGCACAGAGCCCGATGTGGGGCTTGAACTCCCAAACTGTGAGATCGTGACCTGAGCCGGAGTCGGACGCTTAACCGACTGAGCCACCCAGGCGCCCCTGCCTTGAAGTACTCTTAAGATACTTAGAGTACCTCATGCCTTTGAAGTACTCTTAAAAATTTTTTTTAATGTTTATTTTTGAGAGAGAGACAGAGACAGAGACAAGAGTGCGAGCAGGGGGCGGGCAGAGAGAGAGGGAGACCCAGAATCCGAAGTAGGCTCCAGGCTCCGAGCTGTCAGCACAGAGCCCAACGCGGGGCTCGAACTCACAAGCTGTGAGATCATGATCAGAGCCGAAGTCAGACGCTTAACTGACTGAGCCACCCAGGCGCCCCTTGAAGTACTCTTAAAGTGCTTAGAGTACCCTGTACTTGAAGGACTCTTGAAACACTTGGAATACTCCATGCTCTTGAAGGACTCTTGAAGTGCTCTAGTTGGCCACCCTGTGGTGAGACGGGCCCTGCGAGAGAATCTCAAACAAGACATTGACCCCTCCCCTGTGGAGCTCACAGTCTGCCTGGGCAGTCAGATGTTTCAGTGAAGACCAGAATATGATGGAAGCATGTAACACAAGGACTTTATCTCGAAGGCCGAGTGGAGTTGCGGGAAATTTGAAGTCAGACCATGGGTTCTCACCTGCGGCACTGGTGACACTGGGACCAGATCATTCTCCTTGGGGGCGGGGGGGGGGG